AAAGAGAAACATATTATACGGACGTGACGCAAAGCCCCACGTTTGGGTGGGACGGTCTTGTGTGTATATACCCTCTTTGCCTTTTATCGCAGCTCGAAGCCTGTCCCCGCAACGGGGCAAAGCAAAGTGGCTGAAACGGGCCATGGACAGTGCAGGCAGAAGGGCTTTCTTGGATGTTTGGCCCATTGAAGGAGCTTACTAGGGCAGAAGTCTGCAGAACTGTTTGATTCGATCAGGGCCCCCATTTCAGAGGAAAACCGGATCACTTCTCAGGGAACCGAATCAACATGAGGCTCTACTCAAGACCGGGTCGACCTGACTGGTTCAGAGAATCACCCGCTCGTCATTGGGCCGAGAACGGCTGGTTCACAGGCAGATGGCACTTTACCAGTCGAGTCGCGCTCGACTGCAGAGCCAAACAAAAAGGCGAACCGCCTTCGGAAAAAGAAAGGTTAGTTGGAATGCTCAAGAGATCTTGAATTTGCCCTTTTGCAAGGATCCATCATTGTAGTTTCCTGGGCATTTATTTTTCCCAGGACTGGCGCCATGTTAGGGTGGGAAGTTGAATGACGCGAGTTGATGCCGTAAATGGTTTGCAAGCGGTTTTCTTTGTGCCTTAGTTTGGGTGTTGTGTGCGTGTGCGTGTTTGTATGTGTTGTGTGTTGTGTGTTGTGTGTTGTGTGTTGTTGTGTTGTGTGTTGTGTGTTGTTGTGTTGTATGTTGTGTGTTGTGCTGTTGTGTGGTGTGTTGTTGTGTGTGTCGTTGTGTGTTGTGTGTTGTGTGTTGTGTTGTGTGTTGTGTTGTGTGTTGTGTGTTGTGTGTTGTGTGTTGTGTGTTGTGTGTTGTGTTTGTGTTGTGTGTTGTGTTGTGTTGTGTTTGTGTTGTGTTTGTTGTGTTGTGTTGTTGTGTTGTGGGGTGGGGTGGGGTGTGGGGGTGTGGGGGTGTGGGGGTGTGGGGGTGTGGGGGTGTGGGTGTGTGGGTGTGTGGGTGTGTGGGTGTGTGGGTGTGTGGGTGTGTGGGTGTGTGGGTGTGTGGGTGTGTGGGTGTGTGGGTGTGTGGGTGTGTGGGTGTGTGGGTGTGTGGGTGTGTGGGTGTGTGGGTGTGTGGGTGTGTGGGTGTGTGGGTGTGTGGGTGTGTGGGTGTGTGGGTGTGTGGGTGTGTGGGTGGGTGGTGTGTGGGTGGGTGGGTGGGTGGGTGGGTGGGTGTGGGTGGGTGTGTGGGTGTGTGGGTGTGTGGGTGTGTGGGTGGTGGGTGTGTGGGTGGTGGGTGGTGTGGGTGGTGTGGGTGGTTGGGTGGTGTGGGTGGTGTGGGTGTTGGGTGGGTGGGGGGTTGTGGTGTGGTGGTGTGGGGGTGGGGTGGAGGGGTGGGGTGGTGTGTGGGTGGGTGGTGTGTGTGTCATACCTGTGAACTTGCGTAATTCATCTGGGTTTCAAGGGGGGTCAGCGATTAAGGTACGGTGCCCTTGCAAAAGTTCCCAAGCGGGAAATTTCAGTTTTTGGTCTGAAACACATGAAACAAACAGCATCAGAAATTGTGGGTTTTTTGGCCCAACAAATCCTGAATTGCAGCCCCTCCCCCCCCCCCCCCGCAATTGAGGATTTAGTTGCCCCAATAAATGTTTCATTACTAACCCCCTGTCAGTAAGGGCGCCCTAGCAGCTCAGGAGTCGTCGGTCCCCAAAAATCGTTCATTGCTGATTCAGTCTTGCGGCCCTCCCAAGTCCTCGTTGCTGGTCGCTCTCAGAAATTAAGGACGGTTGAGTCCCTAAAAAGCCTTATTAATTGCTTGCTGGGGGGGCAGAAGTCCTTCAGTTTCTTTGGCCGCCACCATCCTTGATAGCTTCTTCTCAGCCACTAAGTGTATAGTCCATGCTGCCAGTCGCAAACTCTGAGTTTCCAGCAAGTTGGAATCAAGCAACGGTTTGGAGTGTCGAAGGAGACAAATCAGGGGACAGCAATTCATGATATAGAACGTTCCTCAAATGCGACGAGGGTCAGAAAGTCAGGATGTGTGAGGCCCACAAAATCCTTAACTGTGCGAGGGGGTGAGAGAAACATTGTTGGGACCAACAATTCCAGAATTGCTGAATGGGTAGATGAAACTCTTGAAATCCGAAACTTCCTCTCATCCACAAAGGGTAATGGCTTGAGTGTCTGCCAAAAAGTTGCCAGCCGTCAGCAATGTCAGGTTTGTCCATCCAATGCAAAGTTTTAGCAACTAAGGAGCTGGTCGGCCAGAAATTGTGAATTTCTATGTTGGGCGGGCTGACGATTGTGCACAGGATACTTGTTGTTGCCTTTGCAGAATCCTACTCACTGAATAAAGCTGCTTGTCCTTGTCCTGTTTTAGCCAACAAAGCCCTGTTTCCCGACAAGCTGTTCACTACGGGTCAGTAGTTAAGGAATTTGTTTGGGGCGGGGGGGAGTGTCAGCAATTCAGGATTTGTGTGGGCTGAACAAAGCCTTAAATGCTGAGGGGGTGTCAGCAATTAGGGTCAGAAATCATTGTTTTTCAGCTGCTGAGGGGGGACGTCAGCAATTGAGCAGGTGTCGGGGCCGGAAAAGCATTTTTTGCTGGGCGGGGGGGGGGGGGGGTGATGCCAAAAAATAGTTGCTGAAGGGGGGCCAGAAAATCCTCAGTTGCTGAGGGGGGGGGTTTCAGCAATTGAGGATTTTGGGATCGAAAATCATTCGTTGTTGAGGGGCGGTCAGCAAGTATTTCGGAGGGCAAAGCGGGGGGTCAGTGATTGAGGATCTGCAGGGGACCGACAAATCCAGCGTGAGGGCCGTAAAGCAAAATTCCGCTAAAAAATCTTAATTGCTGCACCATTTCCTTAAATGCTGAGGGGGGGTCAGCATTTAAGCTTTTTGCAGGTAGTTTTCAGCGCATTTTGGATTCCCAATACGGGTAAAACACCTATTGGGAATCCAAAATGCGCTGCTGCAAAAAGCTTAAATGCTGACCCCCCCTCAGCATTTAAGGACTTTTCGGCCCTCGCGACCCCCGCAAATCCTTAAATGCTGACCCCCCCTCAGCATTTAAGGAATCTTCGCTCCCCCGCAAATCCTTAAATGCTGACCCCCCTTCAGCATTTAAGGATTTTTCGGCCCTCGCAGCCCCCGCAAATCCTTAAATGCTGACCCCCCCTCAGCATTTAAGGAATTTTCGCTCCCCCGCAAATCCTTAAATGCTGACCCCCCCTCAGCATTTAAGGATTTTTCGGCCCTCGCGGCCCCCCGCAAATCCTTAAATGCTGACCCCCCCTCAGCATTTAAGGAATTTTCGCTCCCCCGCAAATCCTTAAATGCTGACCCCCCCTCAGCATTTAAGGATTTTTCGGCCCTCGCGGCCCCCCGCAAATCCTTAAATGCTGACCCCCCCTCAGCATTTAAGGAATTTTCGCTCCCCCGCAAATCCTTAAATGCTGACCCCCCCTCAGCATTTAAGGATTTGTTGGCCCTCGCGGCCCCCCGCAAATCCTTAAATGCTGACCCCCCCTCAGCAAGTAAGGATTTTTCGGCCCTCGCGGATCCTTCTTTGCTGACCCCTCTCCCTCGGCCCTCGCAAATCCTTAAATGCTGACCCCCTCAGCATGTAAGGATTTTTCGGCCCTCGCGGCCCTTCTTTGCTGACCCCCCTCCGTCGCGGCCCCCCGCAAATTCTTAAATGGTTTGTCAACCCAAAAAAACTTAACTGCTGACCCCCCCCCCAGCATTTCAGGATTTGTCGGCCCCACCAAATCAATACTTGCTGAACCCCCCCCCTGAACATTTCAGAATTTATTCGACCCCAAATAATCCTCATTTGCTGAAGCAGAGGTGCATGCGTACTTGCCTGCAGAAACATGCAATTCCAGCAGCGCACTTTCAAATGTGATGCGTGTGTTCATTCAAGCGACGGCCGCAGATGAGAACTGGCAAAAACATATGCTCTGCTGCTACCAAATAAAGATGTTTGTGAACTGATAAATCCTGAAGCGCCGATCAGCAACTATGCCTGTCGCCCGCAAAATCCTTAGTTGCTAAGGGGCGGGGTCAGCAAGGCCCGAAAAAATCCTTAATTGCTCCGTAGGGTGGGGTCAGCCACAGAGGAATTTGTTGGAAACGGGCCGAAACATTCTCAATTGTTGGGGGCAGGCCGGAGGTCGGCAACTAGGATGCTCAAAAGGAATCAGCAATTAAGGATTGTTGGCGGTCGAAATATCCTTGAATGCTGAGGGGGGGTGTTGTTGCCGCCACAAAAACCCTTGCATGCTTTGCATTCGCATCGTTTCGGTCAAAATTTGGACACTTACTATTACATTTAAATTTTGTTGCGCGTAACCTTCTTCAGGGCATTCTTGCAAGGGGCGATGAATTGCCTGGCTGCCCTGCCATTCGCGACGCCCGTTCTTCATTGATTAACGCCCAAATTGGTGTTGCCAGATTGGACAGTTTGTCGTCGCTATTTCCGTTGGTCGCCGTTGTTCAGAAATGTCCCAGAGTGGTGAAAAAGTTATTTCCGGGAATGATTCGGGCTTAATTGCTGCACCCTTCCCTTAATTACCGCACAAAACCCTGGGTTACGCAAGTTCACAGTCATACCTCATACATCTTCCGGTTTTTGATGGTTTCGAGTACGAGCGAACCCCCAGGATGTATAGAGGTCCTGTAGTTTACTTGAGATCTCTTAGTTCATGTTGTTGCAAAATTGTAAAAGTTGTAGGAAGTAAGTATAGTTTCTCCTATTTTTGTGTGAAGTACAAGATCTTCAAAAGGCATCACCAAAAGGGGCAACAGCTCGGGGTTGACATTCTTTGAGGGAACCCTTTTATTTTAGCTTAGATTGAAGGGATTTCAAAACAAAAACACCATGTGTAGGGCCCCCAGGTTTGAGCACCTGTTTCTTAAACCCGTTTATTTGGTATTCAAATAAAGAGAGACCCAGAGGAAACCGACCATTTTGTGTGACCCTGATTTGAGAACCCCCCACATACCCATCCTCAAACTTTGCCTGCGAAGCCTTGAGGTCTTCTCTGAGATGAAGGCCATCGCACATAGCGCCGGCAAAGATTCCCAGAAATCCAAGAAGGCGCGACGGCCATGGCGTCTCTCGTTGTTGCCCCTGGGTGCTTTCCTTCGGCAAGCCACTTGGCCGTGGCTACCAGGTTTACAAGATGTTTTGTTTTGTCCTAGTTGCCTACCATAGTGGCTTGCCTGGAAGCACTGAGAGTTGCTCAAAGTCCAAGAGTGAGTGGCGATGTTCTTCTCAGATGGTCGATGCTAAATGCTAAGCAGCCCTAGTTATGGCTTGTGCGGGGGCTAGCTGGTGGTTTACTGGCGGTTGCCAACCACTTGGCTAACCCCCTACAAGGCACGTTGCTATCCTTCACGTAAAATTGTTTTGCTCGAGTTCCAAGCGAGAGTCGAATCGGCAAGCAGATGACTTTGGTCAACGGCCGGGCCAGTGCTCATGATACCTTTGAGGAATCCCCCAAGTCCACTTAGTGACGAAGTGGTCGCGGCGATGGTCTACATTCACCAAAGTGTCAGTTGTACAATCAATCCTTGATCATTTTGATACAGTCCCACTACGGATTACGGATTAGGGATCTTTCTCCACAACTCAGAGGATGTTTCATGAATTTCCTTCGGTTTTCTCTCCTTCACGACGGCACCCTGGCAATGCGTCCTGGCAATGGAGGTCCACTTGCTGAGTTTCTGGATCTAGTTGTTGGAAGACCATTTGGGTACGGGTCAAAATTAAGCCACCAGGGGACCGCAGGTTGTAGTCCAAGTTTCCATTTACCAGGGCCCCATTTAGGGTACCTATTGTTGACCCACAGCCATTATAGTCAACAAGTCGAGACTTGTTTTGGCCAACCCTCGCGTGAGGAGAAGATCCAAAAGCTACTGGTGGCATCTCAAGGAGAGGAGGCGAGGATGGCGCTCTGGGCGGGCTATGGGCCAGGCATTTCTGGGTCTTCCTTTGAGAATAATGTTCAGAAACACTCTCGGATGGTCTGAAGATTAGCTAAAGGGTTAGTAACCGCATGTGAGGTTAAGACTGGGAAGTATGCAGCGTCTTTGTGCTCAACTGCCATAGCCAGCATGTGCTCATTTGAGGATTTCTACGCCTCTTGGACGGGGGTGGGGGGGGCTGCGGACAGGAGTTCATGGTTGGATGTTTGGTAGCCTGCGTCCATTGCATGCCAACAACCAGTGTCATTTGCAAGGTGTCCTTATTGAAAGGATCAAACATGGGATGTTTGAAGAATCCCCCCCCTGAATTGCACAATGCCTTGTGATCATGTATTGATGTATCCCGGTTTCTTTCCCGAAGAAAAACAAAAAACAGATCCGCAAGACGCGAGGCCAAGTACATCGTGCGCATGCTGCAGGCTGCTAGCTTAGATCTGGAGCGGCGCCGGAAGCTTGCGTGTGCGCAGCCACAGCCCCACCCCCTTAATGGCAATGAGGAGGGGGCTGACTGGGCTGATTTCTGGAGATCTCCATTCCTGGCAATCCATGTTCTCTGTTTTGGGGAAGACTCATATGAGTGGAATTGGGGGACCCCCACCCCTCATGTAGGAGGGATGCAGCCAGCAATGTCTTGGGCACACATTGGAGTGCGATGCGAGGCTGCTGTTTGGTTGCAGTTTTCCATATGCGTATGGAAAAAGGCTAAGGAATTTGATGATGTGAAGGTTAGCCAAATGCCTACAATCCGGCTGGAAGTTAGAAGGTTTATATACGGGCTGTCGATTAACTGGAGGTTATCAACCACTTAGCCACCCCCAGGCCATCTAAGGGCCAACACAAATGCCGGTCTCGCTGTGCCTTTGTGCCCCCCAGACCATTCGGCAGGCGAGGCGGCTTGAGATGTGTTCCATGTTCAATTGAACTCGGCCTTTCTTTACGGGCTTATGAAGATTCTTCTCTTGGCCTCCCAAGCGTTGCAAAAGCCTGCACATTGTTCAGAATGAGATGGACGCAGGTGAGGCACTGATTGACCATGTGTGCGAATCTCCTTGAATGGTTTTTGGCTTTTCGGGTACAAGTCATCCTTGCTTTTTGGTCCGATCGAACTGGCCTTCCAACCTTTTGGAAAGTGGCGGTTTCCCAAGCAAAAAGCTGTTGGGGATCAAAGACCAACGAATCCAAGAATCAAGCCCAGACGCCCGGTGACCCGGTGACCTTTTTTGGGAGGGATTGTCCCCTTAAAATCGACTGCCAAGGATAAATCCTCGTACGTGACTTTGTTTCCTCATGGAAATCTACTGGAGGTTTGGGAATGCGTCAGGCTGACGAATTTGTGCGTGCCTTGAGGCTAAGCTGCGGATCGGGATTCAGATCCCCACGCTCTTGCAGGACTGGGGACTCGGAGGTCGCTGGACTCGATTTTTGTCTTTTTCTATGACCTTCAATGTTCAACCTTTCGGATTTTTTTTTCCCCCTTAAAAAAAAAGAGACATATTGATCCCCCTTTCAACCTGCTAGTCTTTTGGAGAATGAGTGTCGTATGGTTTGTGGGCAACTTTAGCTTTTGGGGCCCGAGCCCCCGTACACCTTTCAAAGATAGTCTGACTCAACACCTCTTGCGAGGACCACAACCGAGCACGGAGTCTGTCTGAACAATCCGGGACCACGGCACCATAGAGCAAAGCCACCAATGAAGCCAAGATCCATATGTGATCGTCACCCCCCTCCCCACAGCCCCCCAACCACCACGCACGTATGACCTTCTGAGTTGATCGGCCAGAAGCAGTTTGATTTTGTTGGTTGCCTTTACTAGGCCACCCCTACTGCCTTTCCGGGACACATCTGGGCAACTACCCTTTCCTCTTTGCCTGGGTGGGATTCCTCTAAAAATTCGCAACCCCAAACAGACATGGTACCTTTTCTATCCTTTTGTTCCTTCCCTTTGTCCGGTTTTGTTTGGTGGGTTCGGATTTTCATAAAAGAATATTCTTGCTCCACACATTCTCGCCAAACATGGAATCCACAAAGGAGATTTGTCTTGAAATAATGGTTCTTGTTTTTCTTCTTTTTTGATATATATATATATATATATACCCAGTTTGAAATATAACACCCAACGGTTTTTATGGAAACCCATTGCACTTGACCCGCGGTCCCCCCTCCCGGCCGCGGGCCAGGCGTTGGCCTATGCCTTCACCCTGACGCTGCCGGGACAGGGCGCTACCTCGGGGCCCGCGCAGGTCACTGACTGCCGCCATGGGCAGGCGCCAGTTTTGGCTTTTGGTTTTTCGGTTTTGGGCGATACAGCTTGACTGCAGAGATGGGTTTGCCTTTTTGTTTTAATGTTGATCTGTTTTGCGGGTTTTGAGATCACTCATGGGCAACACGAGCCATTTCACAGGTCCTTTGCTCAGGGCTCCAATTCGTATTTGGGGTAGGATTGTTTTGGGCAGATCAACCACCAGCGTATGGGGAGTTTACGAGTCTGTTTGGGTCGAAGGTTTGATTTCCCATTCTCTTCACCCATCGTTCTCTTTGGAAACCACCCATTGTCCAGGGTTTTGGCCCATTGGTTGAAGAGAATGATGCCTGAAGAGAATGGGGAGGGTACAGCTAGATTGGGGATCCCCCTAATTTTCCCGATGGGTTTCGTGGTTGGTTGGCTTCGACTTTCCCGGAGTCGGCCAGGGGAAGAAGTCTCCGGGGGAGCTGGAGCTGCAGATGGTGGCTATGGAGGCTGCTGTGAAGCAGGCGCGCAGTGAGAGATGGCGCAGTTCCCTTTCGGTTTTGGGATTTGAGCGGACTCTTGTTGAGGGCAACCAATCCAAGCCACCAAGAGGGAGGCTGACTTAGGCGGGTAAGTCAAGGAGAGGACGACACCAAAATGTGGGAGTTGCTGCGCCATCAGCTTTCGCCGAACTGCAGGTCAAACGAGTTCCAGCATTCGGTCAAAGTATCTAAGAATCCATGGCCCATGTGGGAGGGACATAGGGGGTAGGGACTCTGACTTTCCCACAACCAGCTGAGCATGACATATTTTGACCGTGGCTCATATCATCTATGTTCAAAGCAGAGGGGACCGAAAAGGCGGAGGTTGTCACGGGGTCCGGGCTGGAAGTCAACATGAAACCCCGCCGGTTGATTCTTCATAGGGTTCCTGCGCGCCTTTAAACGCTGATCAACACCTGAGGGTCGTTCCGGAGGAGGGGACCAACTTCTATGCCGACCGGGTCTTTCTGAGTCCAGTAGCATGTGACAGTGCCTCAAAATGGCCTTCCCCAAAAGGGTTCCCTTTTTTTTCCAGGGTCACTGAACAACTGAGTCCTAAACATGACCCGAGTTGGTCTCAAGGGAAAACCAGGTGGACCCTAAGGTTCTTTTGACCAATCGAAATCTGGCTGTGGGTCAAAACTAGGTACCCAGGATGGAACCTTGGTAAATGGAAACATGGACTAAAACCTGCGGTCCCCTAGTGGTTTCATTTGAGCCACACCCATCTAACCACATGGGATTACCCCAGTCTTTGGAGGAACCGCTGCTATTGCCGCCTTTGGCCCACGAACTGAGGCCTTCAGCGAAATGCCGAACTTTGTCGGGGCCGCTGGCGAGTGATTCGCACGGACGTCACACAACCGGTTGAGTATTTGCGCAGTCCCATTTGCTTCGGTGAAGATTGAATGCACTGACAAGCCCACGGAAGGTCACATTTGCATTGGTAAAAATACTTCCTTCCGTCGTATGCCAGATGGTAGTGCTTGCCCCTTAGTGGTGTCCCACTACGGATTACCGAGTCGAATTAGGCTACCCCAATTGAACCAACCAGATTGGGATGTCAAATTTGAGTGGCGGTCATTTATTTGTTTCAAGTTGCTCTCCCAGTCAGCCGCCAAAAAATATATTAATCCTGCTGAGTTTCCATTACAACAAACTTGCGTAGGGGACAGAAAGAGATGGGCTGGTCGTAAGCTGCAAAGCGGATGTTTGATGCAAAGGCATGATCATTTACGATGCAAAGGGGAGCGATGTTGGGTGCACTTACCACGCCGCGAATTCCACCAGAAATGGGCAGTACACACCAAGATTCCACGTCAGTTTGTAATAAATCCTGACCACGGCTTGCATTCAATGAGACAAAAGAGTTGGCCCCAGCGCGACACCCTGCACTCCCTCCAGCCCACTGTAAAAGTCCTTGCTAAATCTTTGTCAGGGGTTGGAAACAGTCGAGCCGTTTCTAAAAGTGGATCAAATAAAAGTAGAACATGGTTCCTTCGGTTTCCCTTTGGGACCCAAATTTCTATCCTTGTGCCGGTCGAGGAGCAAGGCTAGTCTCCTCCGTGCTTGCCCTTTGCCCTTTGGTGTGGCCGGAAGAACAATTATCCTTTTGAGACCATTTGGGTTTGAATAAAACACTGGATGCAGTTTAATGGTTCTACAGCGCCATTGTTTCTTTCTGACAGGACACATACTTAATACAATCTGTTGCCTAGTTGGAGCATGATGACATTTCTTCTCTCCCCAACTAGGTCAGACACCCATGTATTGTGTGCGAGGTTGATAAATGCAGGGTCAACATCGGCTGGCAAGGCGTTAAAAATTTGACGGGTCTCTAATACCAGGAGAAACAACAGCACACGAATCTAGAGGCCACACGCATCTTTGGCTGACAGTCGATGTCTGCTCTTTGGTGGTCCTGTCTGAATATTGGAGAGGCCAATTTGACTTTTTCTTTGTTGCGGTATGGTGCGATGATGTTTCAAGGGGACATATAAGGAAGTTTGACTTTGGTACTCGCCAAGGACCATTTGATCAACTCGTTGCTGGAGGGTCGCAACAGTGAGCCCATCTTGCTTGCCTCTAGGGGGGGGGAGAGGATCGGGTGGGATTTGAGGAGCGTGCATGAATTTGTTACAGCTCCAACATATTCTTGAAAGGGCGCATTGGACGGGGTTGTTAAAAAACCGATCCTTTATCCTTGTGCCACATGGTAATGCCTTCCCTTGTTGCAGTCGAGTCCCTCTACGGATTACGAAACTAGGATTGGGGTTCCCCTTTTTTTTAAACACCCCGCTTCTGCCATTCAGTTGGCAAGGCAGTATGGTGTTGCTTGACTTCTTCATTTGGGTATGCGCTTTAATTAGGGACCCAGGGGTGGACATCATCTAGGTGGAAATATCATTTTATTCACCTTTCGTGGTGATTCCTCTCAAGATTCAAAGCCATTTCAGTCAAGTCAAACCTCTTAGAGGGGGCCTGCAACCTCGCCCATCGTTTTGGATGGTGAACAAATGTCGCAGTGTCCATTCAATCCGCATTGTTCTTCGCCGTGCCAAAAGCAGCTCATGGTTGAAAAGGAATGACGCCAGCCATTTGATGAAGCGCTAAATGTGTCTCATTCCCTGAATGGTCGACAGGAGAATAGAACTTGTCTGCTCAGACCTCACCTTTTCCCCCCGACTAAAAGGAACAACATTCTTTTGCGGGGTATGTTCAGGACCCAGAATGCGATTTGGTCCACAGTGCAAGGTTTCTTCTCTCGCTGGTGATCTTGGCGACTCAATCAGGATACGCATATTCAGTGTAATGTTTCAGAGGACCCTCCAAAATGGTGGTTGTTGCTTCTGGTTTTCCTTCAAAATGACAAACAAACAGGTACGTACCCTCAACAAAACACACTTTGGGCGATTGTACAAAACTAGATTTTGAGACAGACTGCTGTGCGATCGAGGGAATCCCTGTGCAACAAAAGTCATGTGGATGTGAATACCACAACAATGATTTGTCGCCACGGTGCACCATGTTTCATTGCCGGACTTAGCTGACCGTTATTGTCTTTTTGCCGTTTTCCAAGTTTCCTTCAACTTCCTTTCAACAAACAACAGTTTACCCTTTGCAGGGGGTCTAAGTCTGGTCAAGGTATTGAATCTACTTGCCCTGCCCCTTGTTTTCAAAAGTCAAAACAGTCTCAATTCATGCTGGTCAGCAGGTCACCGGAGCAAGCCAGCGCGAACGAAAGTCAAAATCCGCTCTGTGCCGGTTGAACCGGACCTTTTGTTTCCATGATGGGACTAAAAGATTAGCTTGTTGCTTCTATTTACGGCTGAACTTGCTTTGAACGTGTTCATTCCAAATTTGTAGGCCCCTTAAATTACCGGTTTTCTGGTTGCCTTTCAAAGGGTCATGCAAGTGCGGTTCAAGGAGATCTTGTTGTTTCGGTGCTCGAGTTCTTTGGGGGAAGCTCCATTTGGTGATCGAGCCCTCCCTCCCTTTGCCAAACCTGGTTTTGGGAGCGCCTGTCCATAAATCTTCCCCCCCCCCCCCCCCCCTAGAACAGGGGTTTGGGAAGCCCCCGCCCCCCCTCTCCAAAACCCAGTTCTTGGGCGCCCAGCTCGTGCCCTGTATGCACGCGTTCCATTTTTTGGGGAGCCCCCTGTTGCGCCCCAAAACGGAGCGCCCTGTTGCGTGCCCATCCCTGCGTGTCGAAGCCCGTGCTGCACGCCCCTGCCCCTCACTCCTTGCCACTGCAATACTCGGAGCCGCTGCTTTTGGGAGATGCCCCTCGCTCCAAAAAACAGGGTTGTTGGGATGACTATGTGCATCCTTACTTCTTGCCCTCCCTAAAGCACGCTTTTGGGGTGGAAGGCCTGTATTGCACTGGCTCGAGTTTGGTTCTCTCAGGTCTTGTTTCCAACTGGAGCTTGGGCAATCCCCAAAGATCGCCCTCTAAAACTGCCGTCCAACGAAAATTCGAAAAGTCCCCATTCGATTCGACAACGCCAGCTCTATCTTTAAGCCACCGGTCCCTTCCATCGGAAGCGTGTCACGGGTCCCACCAGCCGCCAGGTCGGTCCTTGTTGGAGGTTTGCCGCATCTCCCTGGGCGTGCCAGTGAAGCCCATGCCGGGGCCTTGAGCCCTTGAGGCGAAGGCAGTCAATTTTGGGCGATCCAGGATATGCATTAATATTTTAAGATGCTGACATATATATATATATATTATACACACTTCTGTATGAATATATCCATACACATAAATTGCAAAAGCTTCGCGTTGCCCGCCTCGGCCACGGCCGGAATGCTTTTGGCTGCCTTTGCGGTACTGTGTTTTGGTTTGCCTGGAAGTGTTGTGTTGGTGTGTTTGTTTGAGTGAGACGCGCCGAAATGCGCGAGCTGGTTTCAAAGATAGAGGGTGGGTGCATGTTCGTGCGTTTCCACATGGCTTCAAGGGCTAAATTGAACGAGAGCCGCAGTCAGAGAGCCGCAGAAGGCAGTGGATGTGGCCAAGCGAAGATGTAAGGAACTTGACCCGGTTTTTTGGAGGGGATTTGACTGGCTTCTAGTGGGGGATTTGACCGGTTTCTGGGGAATGTGACTGGTTTCTAGGGAAATATGACCGGAGTTGGGCAGGATTTTAGACGGGATTTGGCTGGGTTGGACTGTTTGTACAAAAAATTGACAGAAGAATTTGACAGTTTCGCTTGAAGCAGCTGGATGGTGGGAAGGAGGGGAGGCCCGGCACTCTCGTTTCGGAGCGCCACGCAAGGAGGCAGCTGGAGCATGGATTGAGGTGTGGAGTCAGGAAGTGATTTCAGGGGTGGAGGTGGATGGTGATCGAAGAAAAGAAGAAGGCGCTGGGCAGGGCTGACCTGTCGCGAAGGCGAAAATGTTGACACGTGAGATATACATATACACACACACATATATATATATATATACACATGTATATATGTGTATATATATATATGCATATTGACACACACACACATACATATGTATAACTAAGTATTCGTCATATGATTGATGTAAATATATATATATATATATACATGTATATATTTATATGGTCACTGACTGGGTTTCTTTGAGCTTTTTGGGAAGGCCATATAGTGCTGGTGAACAACATGTGCGGATTTGTTCTTGCCAATCTACTCTGGAAGCGACTGTGTATATATATATATATATATGTATATGCAGAATATTTATACATGAGCATGCATAGATATACAGAATGAATACACACATGTCCCCACAGACGTGGGCCAAACAACAATGCTTTCCCTCTCCGCTTCAAAACCAATAGGTCCGGCATGGTTAGAATAGCGTTGCACGCTGCTTTATTCAACAACCAACTTCAGCTGTGATTCTAGGAGTTACTGTTCCTGTCCATGTATACCATATATAGATGTATAGTGGATGGCACTTCTCCGTTCATGTCCGGAAGTAAGGAATCTGCTAGACACGGAATGGGAGGTCGCACCATTTGCTTTCACTCAACTGTGAATGCGTACGTATATCAAGGTGGTATTTGTTGGGTTGCCTACGATGAATGTTAAGCCCACCTAAAAGTGGCCGCACGTCTTCACATTGTAATTGCACGGGGTTTATAGATGGGTCTTTTTGCCGAGTCCTTTTTGTCAGGACTAGTTTGGCATACTTCCAGGCAAGGATAGCTGCGTTGTTCAACATCAATTTGTCCTTATTGTAAAACCTTCGCGTTGCCTGCCTCGGCCAGTCCGCCGTTGGCTGCTTTGAGGTTTATACCATGAATCTTTCTGAGTGAGAAAGGCTGACACCTCAGCTATTCGTTGCCAATAGAAGTGAGCTTTCTTTTTCCCGTTACTTCCCGTTTGGGCTGATCATTGCTGGGTCGGAATTTGGGAAAATCTCAGTGTGTTCATTTTGTGTGTGGGTATGTCTCAAAATGCTGGACCCCCCAACACGTGGAGGCCTGGTTTCATTTTGGTGTCCTGTCAAAATAACCCCAAAAAGGGTACCAGCCCCGCTGAACACGAAAACTGGGCCCCGCTACTAAAATTCCTATGGCGCACGGCATTCTGTAGGAGGAACATTGACCAGGCTTGGCGAACTGTGAAAAAACAAACTAAGTTGGTAGCTAGACATGCTTGCCAAACATTCCCTTGGTCAATGGTCAATGGGGTCAACTGTCCGCGAACCTGTTGACAGGAAACCAAAAGGCCTCCCACCCGTCCAGCTAAAAGACCCATGACTTACTTACTACATTGGTACACCCGCGATCTTGCCACTAGGGGGTATATACTCCCTTGGGTGGCTTGGGCGTTACAACCATTTTTGGGTATCAGGGGCCTTTCCATAGCTTTTGATTTGAAATTTAGATTGGCCCAGACGTGATTTGCGATTTCAGGGGCGCTGAATTGATGCTTCCTTGCTAATTTATGTGGACTTCAAAAAGGCATGCCCCCCCCCCAAACAAGGTTTCTCTTACATGGTTGTTTTGGGTTCCATGCCAATCTGCAGGGGAGTACTCGAGATGTTTGGTTTGGATCCTGTCCCGTTGCTACAGTCAACAAAGGTATTGCAGCATAGCAACCTTGGCCCTGGCATCTGCAGGAGGCCCAGCACTTGTCATTCCTGAATGTGGGTCGTCAAATTATACCACCACCGCAGGTTCTAATCCTCGTTTCCATTTACCGCGGTCCGTTTGGGGTACCTTGAAAAATGACCCACACCCATGCACGAGGCTTGCCAAGCCCTCCAAAGGCATTGCAGAGGCGGGGATTTCCCGCCATCGGCAGCTGTGTGTGGCCTTGTCACCATCCCTTGGTTTCTCCTCAGTATGTTCCAGGATAGTTTGTGTTTGCGGGAAAGAAAGAAAGAACGAAAGAAAGAAACAAACAACAAACAAACACACAAAGAAACAGACACACAGGTAGACAGACAAAAGAAAACAAACAAACAAACAAACAAACAAACAAACAAACAAACAATCAAACAGACACGGGCAGACAGATAGACAAGCACACAAACAAACAAACAACTGAAGAAATGGCATAGCAAAATAAACTAATAACTGATGGAATACATAAATACATAAGGAATATGAAATAAGGAAATACATGAAAGAATATATTACGAAATACGTAAAATAAGAAATATATAATCAATTAATCAGCACGATAGATATAGAAGGCAACACAGAATTACAGAAACAACCAAGCAAACAAACAAACAAGAACGGCAAGTAATCAATCATTCAACCAATCAAGCAAGCAAGCAAGCAAGCAAACAAGCAAGCAAGCAAGAAAGCAAACAAAAACCCACAAACACACACACCCAGACAGGCAGCAGACAGACAGACAGACAGGCAGGCAGGCAGACAGACAGACAGACAGGCAGACAGACAGACAGACAGCCAGTCAGACAGAGAAACCGATCAACAGAACAAGAGGACAAACAAACAAAGCAACAGACAAACATAACAAGCAAACAGACACACCCACACACACACACACCAACAAATAAACAACCAAACAAACACACAAACATACAAACAAGCAAGCAAGCAAGCAAGCAAACAAACAAACAATCAAACAATCAAACAAGCACACACACAAACAAACAAAAAAACAATCACTCAGACATTCATACAAATAAATACAAGCAGGAAAACAAAACGAAATAAACAAAGAAAGGAAGGACATAACACAAAAACCAATTAAGGAAAAAGAAACAGAGAGAGAGAGAGAGAGAGAAACTAAGAAACTAAGAAATAAACTAATCAACACATACACAGACAAACACACTCAAACAAACCATTAAACTAGCAACATAACAATCACATAAGCACACACAAACAAACAAACAAACAAACAAACAAACAAACAAACAAGCAAGCAAACAAACAAACAAACAAACAAACAGCTGTACAAACACTCAGACACACAGAAAGACATTAATTACTGACTGACTGACTGACGGACGGACTGACTGACTGACTGATTGACTGATTGACTGATTGACTGATTGACCGACCGACCGACCGACCGACAGATTGACAGGGAGACAAAGAAAACACAAACGGACCAACAAACGATCCAAAAACAAACACATCTAATCCGACTCGTACTGCAAGCAGACCGCAAGTGAGCGCCATAGGCCTCAGGTGGTTGCTGCATGGATCGATTCGGACGCAGAAATCCCCGGGGTCGCCGGGAAACTGAAACCACCAACGGCTAGTTTTCCGTTGCCCCGAAAAAGGAAAAGGAACAAACAACAACATCGGGCGCCCTCAAACTTTTTGACATACCAGGACCCCAACTTGCAAGGCCCCTGCCATTCCCTAAGAGCTGACATTATTGCCATATTTCGGCTTTTGGACGTTTTAAACATCAGCCTTTGGGGCCTTTTAAAGGGAGTTTCCTATGAGGTGATGTTTACAGGTAGCCAAACCCGAAAAGGGTACCCCGTTACACTCAAAAGCACGCGCACACACACATAGCCTCCAGCACCCCCCAACAGCTACTTTTCCCCATGTCCAAGCTTCCAAGTACTGTCCAAACAGCAGTGTTTGGGAGGGGTTGGGGTTGGCTTGTACCCCTCTTGGTGCCCTGAGCATCTGCCGCGCGCTTTCGAGGTAGGCGAGCGCCTCGCGGGGAAGCGCTTCACCGGGGAGTGGAAGTACGATGGCGAGCGCGCGCAGATCCACGTGCTCTCCCGGGATACCATCCAGGCCTCGACCACTTGGCCCAGGGATGGCTATGGTGGATCTTTAGCCATGAGTTTGTCTGGCAAAACTGTGACTGTGTGTGTTTGCCTCCGTTCAATCCGCAAATGGGTACACCTTTTGCACAGGGGACACCAACCAACAAGACATGGAAATTCTGGAAAGACCGGCCCTGCGCCATGGTCATCAACCAACCTTGGTGGCAGGGTCGTCCCTGTTGCTGTGCAGTTGCTGGGGTGTGAATCGGAAGGGGTTCCCCTGAAACTAGGGATGGTTTACGAGAAGTCATTCCCTCATTTCCTATGCAAGACAAAGTGACAAAGCCCACTTCAAAATCACCCTGCAGCCTCCTCCGGACCTGCTCTCTTTATCCTGTTTGGAGCGTATAAGAGAAACAGTGGATCAATTTCAGGGCTTAGGCCCAAGGCTGGGTTCAAAGTGAATCCGCCAGATTCTTTTGCCGGATGGTGGTTCGCTTGACTTGCGTTACCCGAGTAAGCTATGGATGCTCACCAGAGACCCTATTGAAGCGCAGGACTACCCCCCTCTGCCCCAGTGTGCCATTCCAGCACCCCTCCCCCCCCCAACAACTGCTTTTGCCCATGTCCCAGTAGTGTCCCAACAGCAGAGGTTGGGGAGCGGTGGCTAAAGCATGTTGAATTCACCCGGGAAAGAGGATAAACCTGTGGACATCTTGGTAAAAGACTCGCGAGGAGCCATGGGAAGCTCACCCAGTTCCCACGAAAACGTCACCAATAGTCACCGCTGGGTTGCCATGGCCAGCCCAAAAGATTGGACACCTAGGCATGTCACATGAGGGCGGGATCAGTCTGCATGTGGCGCAGATCTACAGCCGGAATTCCGAGAACATGACGGAGAAGTACCCGGATGTCATTCAGGCTCGGTTTTTTGCAGGGAACAGTGACATAGCCTCACACCAGTCGCCATGGAACTTAATGGGAGTCAGCCTCTTCACAACTAATGTTTAACTTTCCGTCGATTTGGGTGTGCCGATTTGGAAGGTATCCGTTTTGTGTGTGTTTTCGTTTGGAGCCACAGCGCAAGCTGCGCATTTCGGGGGTGACCCGCATTTGGAGCCAAGCCCATCTTGTGATACTGGGCGCGAGGGGGCCGAAGGCCACAAATCGCACATTCACAGAGAGATGTGCGAGCGATGTGTCTGAGCCTTTAGCTCCTGAGCGGTTTGTGGTCCGGAGAGCCGCAGCTTTTGGTCGATTGACCCCCTGCAAACCCGTCACGAGCCGATCCTGCACCACAAGACTCACGGTGGACTTCGACCGGGACAACCCAACTGCGACCTAGGAAAAATACCCTATGAAAGGGATCCAATCTTATTTGTGCACACCTGCAGAATGGAAATGAGGGTGGGGTTACCCCGAAAACTTGTCTGGCAAATATGGTGTTTTGTTATGGGACTTTGGATTTTATGGTTCACCATGGTTGTTTACGTTCCCTAAAACCTCCATGGTCATCCCTACCAACCCCAAATAAATGGGTCGTTTGACCCTGAGTTTGAGAGCTGGCCTAAACCGCCATCGTTCTCAGGTGGTGAAAGATACCTTGGCGCCGGAGCGATGGGCCGTGGGGAACGGAGGGGGGAAGGGGTTCAGGGCGGTGGAAGGATTGAACCAGCCAGTAGAACTACCTAACCCTCAATGACCTTAAGAAGCAGGTCAGTAGAAGAAAAAGTCAATGAAGGAAGCGCTGCTTAAGTAAGCTGAGTGACCCATTTCAACCAGCTGACTGGCTTGAAGGGTGGCAGCGCCCAAACGCCCATTGGATCCCATTGGCCATTTTTGCAGATAGTTCTACTGCGGGTGTCATGGGTTTTTGTGTAACGCATATATAGGTTTGTCTCAAAATAGGGAACCCCCCCCTCCTTTTGGTTTTCTTTCAAACACACAAAAAAAATACCCTCAAAAAAAGACAGCCCCATATGAACCTTTATAAGAAGTTTTGGCCTCTATAGCTGTAGCCACTTTAACGCAAACCAATGTATTGCACACGAGACATCCCGTTTGGGAGGTATTCTTTGCACTCTCTCCCACCCTTCTGGGGAGGGTGGGACCCTGACAAAAGCACTTTAGCTTGTTTTCCCCCATGTTTGAAGGGTGGAATATCAACAAGTTGCCAAAGGCCATCTTTGAATTAGTTTCATCTTTTGGGGCTGGCTTGAACAACACCTTCAATACCCAGGGTCGCTTTTTTGCTGAGTTTCTGATTGGCTGGCAGTTGGTGCTGTTCTAGGGGACTTGGGATAGAAGGGCCCTCGTTCGCGAGGACGTGGAGAGTTGCATCATCGACAGCGAGTTGGTGGCCTACGATCAAGTGAAAAAGAGGATCTTGCCGTTTCAGGCGGCTCGTTTCTGGCTCAAGTTGCCTCACGTTGTTGTGGGTACAGAGCATTTGAGAATTGTCAAAGCAGATAAACAGGGTCTTTGGGCTTAGCTTTTGGTTTTCCGTTTGGTTGAGACATTTGCGAAGAAACGCTGGTCCCTAATTCTGTACTAGCCAGCCAACCTCGGAGCAAGACCTCCACCACGGAAGTCCCTCACTTCGGCCTTTGGGTTGGTGAGCTCTGGTGCGCGCTCGTCTTGCGGGCAGGTGTTAACCACAAGAGGGCGGAAGAACATCGTTGTGGAGGATATCAAGGCCTGAGAGTGAAAGAAAGATGGAGATAGTATGTGTGCGTGTGCACGCACAGAGGGCCATGTGACAGGCCTTGGCGTTCTGTGAGAAAAACCCCAAGGGGGCCCTCCCCGATGAATCACGATGGTATCACAGAAACTAGTGTCAACTTATCTACGGGCCCGCTGAAGTCCCTGATTCTCATGCCGCCCATTTCGACCACATGTGCTGCCACCTCATTTTTCCGGTCCTCCATTTTTTTTTTTCACTAGCCACCCATCAGCAATCTGGCGGCTGGTGGATGTTTGCATGTAGCTTGGGGTTTGTGGACCTCAAATGGCTTGACACAACCCCCATGCAAACGCCTCCCAAACGGATCCATGTCTCATCAACATTCATACCCACATAGGTGTGGCCCAACAAAGGGAGCACACACTGGCAAATAGTAGGTTATCGGTTAAACCCATGGTTGGAACCGATTGGCTTTGAACCGATTGGCAGTCGGCAGGTCCAAGTTTGCCTCTTTGCCTTCGATTGCATGCTGCTCAACGGCCAGCCCTTGGTGAAGGACTGGCTCCGGATAGGGATAAGCACCACCCAAATAAAGGAAACTCATCCAAACGAGGGAAACAACCCCTTGGAAATTCTGTGGTTTTGGGCCATGTGGTTTTTTGGGGTCAGCAGTCATGGGGAATCCCCAGTGACGAAGTGATGTGAAGGCTCACTTTGGAATCATAGAAAGGGGAACCAAAGGAAACCAACCAATTCTGCAAGTTCCCTGATTTTGAAAGCATATGGAGAGATCCACATCCGTCTCATTGGGGCTCTCTGGGATGGGAGTAGACTCCGCCCAGTGCCGCCCAGCGACGCATCCAGTCCTAAACCCATGGCCACAGGTTTGGGGTTGCCCGAGAAAGCGAAGCCGGGTTCGGTTGATTAGGGGGTGTTTCATTTAGATCACTTCTGGAAAAACCCTCAATTCATCCACCTAAGTTGTAAACATAATGTGGGTTCGACATTGGTTTGGATGGCCCACGTTGGTATCACAGAGAGGGTGGTTTCCCACAACCATGCTGAGAACCTTTCCGGTTGGCGCCTTTGGTCTTTTCCCCATGCTGTACCTCAGTTGCCCAAAGCGAATTGTCCTGCTAACCAAACCGGTTCCCCTGTTTGATGTGTCAACATAAAGAGACCCTGAATTGTGAGTTCCCTTTAGATTTCTATTGCAACCACCCCAAAAAGGGTACCCTAAAACAAAAACACATGCCATAAGTCATGCCCCGAAAAGGGCATCCTTTGGGCCGATCTTCGTGAGGATGCAAATTGGGAATTGCGTGTGCGTCTCGATGACGGGGCTTATCCCGTACAATTTGCCATGGTGTCTGTGTGCGTGTTTTCTGTCGCTTCCCTTCGGCTTCCTAATAGAGAAAGACCTTTCATGCATGGCCACTATCCACAGCTAAGATTATGGCCTATTTCAGGTCAATTCGAGAGAAAAGAACATCGGCTTGTGCTCAGTAGGGAATGAGGCAATAAACCCAGGGTTTCCATTAAATGAATCCACAAGGGATGTTTTGTGGGGGTCATTCCCTCATTCCCTGCTGAGCACCAGCAAGAAAAGGCAAGGTTATGACTCGTTACGACGGCTTACTTGAATTGGTTGTAAGCAGCCAATGTATGGCAGGACCAGCGATCGATGGACTTCGAGCTGTGCTCATTTTAAGACACCCACCAACTGAAAGTTTCATTTGCAACCATTGCAAGGGTTTCCAAGACATTTCCACAAATGGACCCACAACAGTCAGGAGTGTTGACCACGACGCAGTATAACGTATGCAATGTGCCTTTCAACATTTGCTCAACCAAAAGTCCAGCTAGGACCACCTTAGTCCAAGATTGAACAAAGCACGCGAGCCATGTATGCCCTCATGGGGCTTGACTCCCCGAGGGAAGTCACACAGCGTTGGAACGACTCCGTTGCTTTGGAGGAGCCACTGGAGGTGCGTCGGGACAAGCTGTGGAAGATGATGTCGCCCCTGGAGGGCAAGGCAGGGGGCGGGGGGCGACTGAAACCCTAAGAGACCTCCCTGGTGAGTGGTTGTATATATGTTCCAGGCCGTGGACCCCCCCCCCCCCCCCCCCCCCCCCCCCCCCCCCCCCCCCCCCCCCAGGGTTGGTTCAGGGTTGGTTCAGGGTTGGTTTGCGGTGGGTTTCGGGTAGGTTTGGGGTTTGGGTTGATTTAGGCTTAGGGTTGGGGTTAAGGAGGGGTTGCAGCGTGGTTTGGTTTAGGGTAGGATGTTGCGAGAGGTGCGGGGGTGTTGGTTCACGGGGTGAAAGGGGGAGTCTGGGACCGAAGCTGCAGGGCTCACACGGTACTGGACAGCATCCCCAGCATTGCCAGCATCATCCCCAAGATGCGGATGATGCGGGGGAGTGGGGGGACCATACCATTGGGGGGGGGGGGGGGGGGGGGGGGGGGTACGTGGCCCAGGGACTGGTACATATATATATATACATACACACACTTTTTTCAGCCTGTTTTCAACCTGGTTCAAAAAGAGAACCCCAAGGGAAACCACCAGTTTGATCCAGTTTGAGGGCTCCCATGGCTCCACATACCGCGCATGCCCCAGGTCAGACGTTGGGCAAATCCTTGTGTCCCTGGCAAAGGTGTCGCTTGAAGCGAAAAGTCCGCTCCCCCCCCGAGTGGGCGAGATGTCGTTGTGATTTTTGGGCCCAGGTGTGTTTCCTTTAACATAAGCTACCGACAAAAAGGGTACAATACATCTACTCTACCCACCGACAAAGATGGGCTGGTGCACAGATAAACCCTTTGGAGGAACACAATCCTGGCGCCTGTGCACCAAGCCGTGTTGGTAGGAGGGACCACAAAAGATTTGTTTTTTTCTTCTGGTGAGCGAGTCTGGCCTGTTCATCAATCTGCTCAAGCGAGTTTTGTCTCAGTTTTAGATAGGCCCTTCTCGGAGTCAATTTTAGATAGGCCCTTCTCGGGTGTTCACTGCAATTGGGGATTGCCCTTTTGGATGGTGAAAGCTTAAAAGGGAAAACAAAAGGAAACCAGCCATTTGGGGGGTCCCTCGAGCAGGTGAGAAAAAGGTTTCTGCCCAACCTTTCGTGGGGTGTGGGCCGTTGTGTTGTTCCCGGTGTGCAGCCTTGGACCCGGGCCCTAGCGGCTTTGGGGCGAGAGGGGTGCAGTTTGTGCCTGCACTTCCTGCAAGTTGACAATGAAGTGTTGGTCCCCAAGCAGATGTCTACTAATGATTTTCTGGGCTCCAGATTCTGCAGGGGACTAATCATGATGTTCCTTGTTTTTGGGTGCGTGTGATCTTTGGCAAGTACCAACACCCAATGGGGGCCCGGGCCATAGGAACCCACGACCTTCAATCACAAGGCTCACAAAATCAATTGGGGGAACGGGTCAACAGCTGACTGGTCAAGCGCTGTACCTAACATGCCAATTTCTTGTTTGACAGGTCTGAAATAGGATCCCCGCATGGTCTGTTTTCGTTTCGCTTTCGAGTGTGCATATTTCTGGCCCTTCGAATTGGTGGGCGCAACGGCTCTTGAGATCTCCCAAAGTGAGCTGAAAGGCGTCGTCCAAAAGTACGCCCGGTCGGTTGGTCTCGGAACGACACTGCCCGAAGGTGACATTTGCAGTGCACAAGAACTTCGATGATATCAATGAGGAGGAGATTCAGGCGCGAGATCACCAAATCACAACTAGAAAAACAGGGCTTATTCACCAAGCGACCGTGTCATTGAGGAAGACGATGAAATTGTCTGTTGCATCCCCGCCCCCCCCCCCGGCCCCCAGTATGGTATGGTTGAAGCCAGGCGATGTCACAAGGGGTATACCCTCTTCCCACGCGTTCTCCCCGGGGCCGGTCCCTTCTTTTTTCCTGGCGGCGATACTGGCTGCTCATGTCAGAAGGTGGGTGTCCGTTTTGGTCCAATTTGGAAAACACAAATGGGATTGTGTTTCTTAGAGTTGGTACCCTCTTCAGGCTGGTTTAGAGGGAAACCAACAGGAACACAAGCAATGGGGCCCCGTGCTTTGACACAATTAGCCAAATGATGGCACTGGTTTCAGCCTGGTTCTGATTTGTTTGCCAGTGCAACCCATCAATGCACTGGGGGCATGTGAGGCCTTTCTCGACGAGTCCATCGCGGGCTCTTGCGAGGCCATACGCGGAGAATTGGTTGACGACACCTCGCTATGTGATGGTGACCACTCCTCCTGTGTTTTGTTGGTGGTTGTGTTGCTCATGCAGTGAGAAGTTTAGGCTAGTTTAGGCCTGTTTCGGAAACTGAGCACTTGCACGCCTAGTGTTTCCACTCAACTTTGTCCGAAGCCATATAATTATGGGATCCTTCCAACACAGGGACCCGCACACCCACCCACCCACCCACCCACCCACCCACCCACCCACCCACCCACCCACCCACCCACCCACCCACCCACCCACCCCACCCGCCCGCCCGCCCGCCCGCCCGCCCGCCCGCCCGCCCCACCCACCCACCCACCCACCCCCCCCCCACCCACCCACCCCACCCACCCCACCCACCCACCCCACCCACCCACCCACCCACCCACCCACCCACCCACCCACCCACCCACCCACCCACCCACCCACCTACCTACCTACCCCCCACCCCCCCCCCCTGCGTGAACTAAGCTTTTCTTCACGCCACGTCTTCACTGCAACTCCGCCCAGAGATATGCGAGCGCCCAATCCGGCCAATTTTAGTGAGTGCTTCAACTCCCTGGCTTTCTGGATGGACGAAATGCGCGACTTGGGATTGGTGGTTAACTTTTGGGGCTTCCATCCCAACTGGGGATTTTGTCCATCAGGCCCATGGAGGTCGAAGCTGGAGTGCTCTTTGCCACTGCGGC